TCTGTTTCCATACCGGCCGGCCCTTACCTTCTGTGGTTGGTCATGTTCGTTCTTCTTGGATCGGTTGCTATGTCTGATCCAAGACTGCTCACCCGGTGTGAAAGCTGTGTAACCAGGATACCCAGGATAACTCCAACCCAAGAGGAAATGGGTGATTTTACCAGATTTGTCCATATTTGGCCAATTCTAGCCCATTGAATCTGGTGTGACCAGGGAGCGAGCAACCTTGTTAGCTGAAGAGTTTCATATACATATATATATATTACATATATGTAATATATATATATATATTATATTATTATATTACATATATATATATATATTATATTATATATTATATATTATATATTATATATTATATATTATATATTATATATTATATATTATATATTATATATTATATATATTATATTATATATATATTATATATTATCTATTATATATTATATATTATTAAATTGCATATATATATTATATTACATATATATATATTATATTATTATTATATTACATATATATATATACTATTATATTATATATATTATATTATATTATTATGTATATCATATCAATATATATATCTATATACATATTATACATATATGATGAATATACAATACCCATATCAATATCCATATGTATATATATATTATACACATTCCTACATCATTTCGACACAAACATCTCATCAGGAGCTGGAAAAGAGAGCCAAACTGCAAGAGGAGGTGAGCTCTGAGCTATGCGGGGTCCACGGGTCCCTTGGGGAAGAAATCTTCGAAAGCTACGCCGCTAGGATAGTCATGGATAGTCCATGAGATGCCCTTAAATCCATTTTTATCATCCCATAAGTCATAGATGGCTAGAGGATAAAATCCCATAAATCAATATAAATCATCCATGAGATCACATATTTTCTCTGCTAGATATCCCATTGAATCCACCATTCATGGTGGCTGTGCCGTTTCCACGAGCTTTACCGCGGCGCCTTCAGGACATTGGACGGCAGCGGAAGCTGTTGGAAGATATCCAAGCGGAGGCGCGGTGGTTGTCTTTGGTGCCGGCTTTGCCTTGGTCCAGAAACGGTGGTCGAGAAAATGTGGGATCCAGAAAATGTTGGTTAAATGTTGGTTAAATATGCTTAAATTTGGTTAAGGTTTATGCAACATAAACAAATGTTGGGTTTTCCACTCTGATCCTTCAGGATGGTTTTCAACTGGCAACACAAATCAGCCCAATATTTTGGGCTTAGTCAGAACCTATATTACCATATTTGGGAGGATGACCATTATAAATCCATGGTAGAGCCCACCTATTTCGTCCTATTTCCAGGTTCACCATGGTACAAGGATTTAGACTCATACCCAAATCAAAATTCCCGATAATTATAAATAATTCAAAAGTAGATCGGTTTACATTCAATATGTTTTTTAATCATACCTGAAAGTCAAACTTTGAACTTCCCGATAGATTCCCGGATGATTTCACAGCCAACAAGTCGCAGAAAAACCATCATTTGAGCGGCTGTTTTTCAGTGACAGGTGGATCTCTTTATCGGCGCCTTCCTGAAGCAAGAGTCCTTAGAGAAGGAATTTCCACTCCACCCCAGGGCACTCGTTGTGCGGTGTGGTGATATCATGTTTTGGATAGAATGGGCACTATGAATTCATGGCTAAATATGCGCAGATTTTTTTAAATACTGACCATTGATGAAATTACTATGATACTATCTATGTTCACATATTATTTGAACCATTCATAAAACTATATATATATATATGTACTATTAGTTAATGGTGATAATAGCAGTTATCATCATGGCAACAACAATAATAAGTAAATACATAAATTAGATTATATACATATAATATAATATAATATTATATAATATACACCGAAAATAGATGGTGATAACATGACTGCGGAACTGTCAGGCAATCATAAGGGACGAGGGTGGATGTTGGACAGTCTGGCTGCTGGAATCATGGACCAATTTTTCATGGTCAACCTGGTCAACCCCACGAGAAATGATGGAGAAATTGGATGATCAAAGATGAGCAGAAGGTTTCCAGTTGTGATACGAGTTCCAGTTGTGCGGTTGAACTTGGCGAAATTGGAGCGAAGTCGTCAGATTCGGGAAGAATTTCTGTCAAAAGCTGTCTCACCACGTGCCTGTTTCAGGACAAAAAGGAGGAATATGAGACCATCAATCAACAGCCTCTTGGGCGATTAGTCAGGATTGATCATAAGCGAGTATGGTCACAGGGGATCTGACTGGATCTAAAAGGTTGTCAGAAATGGTCCAAAAAACACCACAACTTTGAGTTCGTTGGCGAACTTTCCAACACGGGTACAATGCAACTTGGGAAGGCAACTTCTTTGGGGTGTTGACTTTGTTGACCAAGGTGTGACTTCGGTAGGAGGCTTTGTATCCACAAAGATATGGACGTTTTCACCGCTGCACAACGCAAAAGGGTGACCTATAGTGACCTGGTCGATGACTCTCAGGATGGAAGAGATGAAGAAAGAGATCAAGACTCTGAAGGTCGAGGTGGGACATAACTTGGATGCTGAGATTGGGGCAAAACTTGGGCGAAAAGGGATGCTGTTCACCCATCATGCAACTCTTTAAGACGTAGGTCTCATCTTCCCCAGGTAGCTAATGTTGTAGCCACGCATTGCAAGGCAGACGGATGCCCCGGGTAGGAGCTAAAGGGCTCATGGTTCATGATCTATATAGAATATTTGATTCATTTAAGATAATTGTGATAAAGATCTCATTTTGAAAATCCATTGTTCAAATAATCCAGAAGTGGTTGTGGGATATCTACCCAAATATCGGATATCATTATCTGGTTGGTATTCTTGGATACTTGAAATTCTTGATTCACCTGATTTATGACTGATGCAATGGACACCTTCTTCTTGGGGTGCCTTGAGCTTAGCCCTACCTGCAAATCACACCACAATATCATTTAAATTCCACAAAGAACAATGACATAACCATTTGGGTTCGAATGAACATGGATGGGTTCGAATGAACATGGATGGCCGCCCCCTTCTGGTGTCAATTGGCATGGGATGAACAACAATAAACATATTCAAATCATCTAAAATGTAGACATATATTAGCTATTTAGGAAAAACCAGGTTTTCTTAAAAAAACAGGTATTTTCCCCGGATAAAACAAGGTTTCTGATTTTCAACCCAAAAAAAAGTAGGTTCTTGATGCCAGAGGATATATATTATATATATACACTATACATATGGTTGTCAAGCATGACGATTCGGTCAATCCTTTTGGATACATCTCTGCTTCCTGTGTTTGGGGACAGGCAGTTGAAAGAATTGTGTGTCAACCAACAGTTCGCTTCTGTGCCGGTTGCAGGAAGACAGCATTTTCGTGAAGGTCAAATACCATACCCTCTGGTAATCAAACGTGGCAATGGAAAATTTTTAACTCCACCATCTATAGAGATTTTCTCAGCATGCACCTTTTTGTTCCTTTTCTTGCGGTGAACTGTGAAACAACGTGAAACTGTTGGATTCTCCAGGGGAAAGGGACGCTTGCACCGCTGGCATCGGCCCAAGTATTTGAGCCAAACACCCGAAGCGCTGCAGCTCTTCGCTTTGCCGGACCGGAGGTCAAGTCGGAGGTCTCATGGCGTTGCTGTTGTCGACTTTTCTAGTCCAACAGTTTTTCTGGGCCGCGGCCGTGCAGTTTGATGCGTATTTCGAAGAAGCTGCGGTGAAAAATAATGCTTCCTGGGCCAAAGAAGAGTCCGAGATTCAGCAAAAGCTGCAGAAGCTTGAGAGTCCACCGGCTCAGAATGATGACTGGTTGGTGGTTTGGAACATTTTTTATTTTCCATAGTATATGGGATAATCCTTCCCATTGACTTTCATATTTTTCAGAGGGGTAGGTATACCACCAACCAGATGACCATTCATGCTGACAATGTCGGGTATGGTCCATCCCTGCGACCGCTGTTTCAGATCCCCAAAACGAAGATTTTGACGACGGCTTGATGTTTCTTCAGTTGCATCAACTTTTAAGAAGAACTCGTGTGTTCAATTAGTGATGTAGTATTGACCAATAATGACCAACATCAGGCAACATCAATTTTCGTCAAATCGAGTCACATCGAGTCAAATGAGGTAAGTTCAAAAAGAAGCCCAACATCATTTACATTTTGTCCGACGACATCGGTTTCGGCGAGCTGGGTTGGCAAGGCGGTGGCAAGCACCGGGGCACACCAGGCCCTGGCTTAGATGACATGGCCTATCAAGGCATGCGATTTTGGTCATCCTACAGTGACTGCTTCAGAGCTTCAACATGCTTCAACATTCAGGGCGTTTCAATGTTTCTAGAGATGGGTGTTTTCACCAGGTTGCAGCGTAGGTTTCAAATAATTACACTTTGTGTGTTTGTGTGTGTTTGCGTGTCTTTATGTTTTTCCAGTTCCACTGCAGATTTTTGTTGGCAAGAAAATGGGGAATCAAGATAGGGAGAATGATGAATGATGAACTGGAACGGGTTTCCATGGGTTTCCCAAATTTACAGGTACCAAACTCAAAGGTCCACTATGGATCCAATTGTCCAGGCTTTTGGTCCAGTTTTTCCACTTCGTCACTTCGTCACTTCGTCACTTCGCAGCCCAGGTGAGCCGAGCTGCACTCCCTCGCGCGTGGCCATCATGACGGGGCGCCACCCCGTGCGAACCGGCCTCACCACGGTGCTGTGGCCGGGGCAGGTGGACGGCCTGTCACCGGAGGAGGTGACCATTGCCGAAGTGCTGTCGGCCAAGGGGTACCACACGGCCATGTGGGGCAAGTGGCACATGGGTCACTCAGATATGGTGAATGGTGAATGGTGAAGGTTGGGAAATTTTGAAATGGTGTTGGTGAGCATGAAAGAGCAACAATGAAACAAAGAAGTTGCGAATGGCTGGGAATGTTGGGATACAGTATCTAGGCATATCTGGCGAAAAAGAGAGAAAGATTAAGTGACGGCGTCGCTTGGGACGAAAGAACATGGACACAACATAAAACATGTCAATGCCCAAGGGCAAAAAACATGAACTTCATCAAATTTGGGAGTACCCTATCATTGGTTGATTGGTTGTGTAGATCCTGCAAAAATAGGGAAACATTAGGATACACAGATATACATTACAGTATATACTTTTCTTACTTTTTATCTTTTGCGGCTTTCTATCTTTTTTTTGGGGTATCATAGGCATATTGGATGATACTGCTATTGTTGTTGCAGCCGTTAAAAAGTCTGTTCATCTTTGAGCTGGGTCCAAGGGTCCAAGCTTCACCTAAATATTTCACCATGATGCCATGGTTCCCCATGAATTGCTGGCCATATTGGCTGGTATCAAAAAGCAGATACCCTCTGGTAAACTAACATAGCTATGGAAAATCACCATTTTTAATGGGAAAAATCACTATAGATGGCCATTTTCAATAGCTATGTTAAATTACCAGAGGGTAAAAGGAGGGTATCCCGGTTTACTGTCTTCAAAAGAAAGGCCACTTTCGCGATCTCATAGTGTTTTTGTACATCTGATTTTTACTTTGCTTCGAGTGATCCCCAGCGTGATAGATCATTTTCTATCCTGACATCCTTTCTGGCATCTATTCTGAGATTTTCTCTGGCATTCTATTTGGCATTCTTCTGACATTCTACAGTATCTGGCATCTGTTCTGACATTCTTTCTGGCATCTATTCTGACATCCTATTTGGCATCCTTTCTGGCATCTATTCTGAGATTTTCTCTGGCATTCTATCTGACATTCTTCTGACATTCTATCTGGCATCTGTTCTGACATTCTTTCCGGCATCTATCCTGACATCCTTTCTGGCATCTATTCTGAGATTTTCTCTGGCATTCTATTTGGCATTCTTCTGACATTCTACAGTATCTGGCATCTGTTCTGACATTCTTTCTGGCATCTATTCTGACATCCTATTTGGCATCCTTTCTGGCATCTATTCTGAGATTTTCTCTGGCATTCTATCTGACATTCTCTCTCGCATAAGTTGAGGTCCGGAAGTGCCCACTGAGATCTGGAGCTCGCGGTTCAGGTCCGGCAGCGCCCAGCGAGACGAGGTGGAGGAGGAAACAACTCTGATAGAATCTAGAGTTCCTCACCTGGCAGAGGGGGGGAACAATCTAAGAAATCCCCATCAAAAAAGCTGGGAAAGTCATCAACTCACATCCCAGGCGAAGAACCCGAACACGCGCCTGAGAATCAAGGCTTTGATTACGCCTACTACGGTCTCTTCAATGGAGCGCCTGACCTATGGCCAGATGGCTATGAGATGACGGCAGCGTGGCTGCAAAAAAAACATATGGCCAGATGGTACCCGCAGCGGTGTTATCAAACATGGCTGGCTGGGAACTTCCCGAACTAAATTGAGGTTTTAATAAGAAATCATGGGAATATATGGGGAAAACATGGAAAATCCATGAATCATAAAAAAACTAACGTGGATGTTGGTAAACGTGGTGGTGTCCCCGCTGCCAGACATCATGAAAAATCAGGAAACTCCAGAAAACTTTCTGGACCCTGTGTTTTTGGTTTAAAGCATGAAATCACCTGACGGTGTTGTTGAAAGGACTGGCTGGCAGGAAATTGAATTGAAGGTCAAATGCCCACTACTCCACCAAACTGGCCTTTGTTGATGGCTGAAACTCTAGATTTCATTAGATTTCATGTGTTCAGAGTTCTGGCCCAAGATGAGCTGATGCGCTGGTCCTCTCATGAAAGAAGCAGCGAAAGCAAAGCACTTCAAGGTGGGAGCTATGATTTGGCATGTTGCATTTTCCTTTTGTTGGTCTTTATTGATCTTTCTGCAATTTTCATAGGCTTGTAGAATCAGGAGTATGGGCTGTATCAGGTTCGCACCCACGTTCGGATTTTGTATCGGTGGTCGCAGGTTGGAATACCGGGCCACTGCGACCTGAAGAAGTTAGAGCACACAGTGAAAGCTGCTTTGGCTGCTCGTCAGTCCAGCGTTAGTGCTGCACTTTTCGGAAGGCTCCTTGATCCTCCGGTATGGAGGTGCGGTGACAGCTGGAGCGGCAAGGCGCTGGGCAGACCGAGTGGTGACACTGGTTAGACTGGAGAGGAAAGCAGTTAACTCCAGAGGCATCAGAGGTGCCCAACTCAAGGCTAAAAAGAAGTATAGATTGACGCATCAGGTGCCCAACTGCGGGCAGGAAACCAACTCCAGGCATCAGAGGTGTCCAACTCGAGGCATCAAGGAAACCCAACTCGAGGCATGCTAGATGCCCAACTCCAGGCATGAGAGGTGCCCAACTCGAGGCATCAAACGCGCCCAACTCAAAACATGACAGGTGACCAACTCGAGGCATGAGAGGTGCCCAACTCGAGGCATCAAAGGTGGGTGCCCAGCTCGAGGCTTCAAAGGTGCCCAAGTCGAAGCATGAGAGGTGCCCAACTCGAAGCATCAAAGGTCCCCAACTCGAGGCATGAGAGGCGCCCAACTCGAGGCATGCGAGATGCCCAAGTCCAGTCAACGATGCCCAACTGGAGGCAGGACAGGTGCCCAACTCGAGGTGCCGAAGTGGAAGTGGAAGCATCGAAAGTGCCCAACTGGAGAGGAAAGCAACTCCAGAGGCATCAGAGGTGCCCAACTCAAGGCTAAAAAGAAGTATAGATTGATGCATCAGGTGCCCAACTGCGGGCAGGAAACCAACTCCAGGCATCAGAGGTGTCCAACTCGAGGCATCAAGGAAACCCGATAACTCGAGGCATGCTAGATGCCCAACTCCAGGCATGAGAGGTGCCCAACTCGAGGCATCAAACGCGCCCAACTCAAAACATGATAGGTGACCAACTCGAGGCATGAGAGGTGCCCAACTCGAGGCATCAAAGGCGGGTGCCCAGCTCGAGGCTTCAAAGGTGCCCAAGTCCACGCATGAGAGGTGCCCAACTCGAAGCATCAAAGGCCCCCAACTCGAGGCATGAGAGGCGCCCAACTCGAGGCATGAGAGATGCCCAACTCCAGGCATCAACGATGCCCAACTGGAGGCAGGACAGGTGCCCAACTCGAGGTGCCGAAGTGGGAGTGGAAGCATCGAAGGTGCCCAACTGGAGAGGAAAGCAACTCCAGAGGCATCAGAGGTGCCCAACTCAAGGCTAAATAGAAATATAGATTGATGCATCCCGTGCCCAACTGCGGGCAGGAAACCAACTCCAGGCATCAGAGGTGTCCAACTCGAGGCATCAAGGCATGCTAAACTCGAGGCATCAAACGCGCCCAACTCAAAACATGACAGGTGACCAACTCGAGGCATGAGAGGTGCCCAACTCGAGGCATCAAAGGTGGGTGCCCAGCTCGAGGCTTCAAAGGTGCCCAAGTCGAAGCATGAGAGGTGCCCAACTCGAAGCATCAAAGGTCCCCAACTCGAGGCATGAGAGGCGCCCAACTCGAGGCTTCAAAGGTGCCCAAGTTGAAGCATGAGAGGTGCCCAACTCGAAGCATCAAAGGTCCCGAACTCGAGGCATGAGAGGCGCCCAACTCGAGGCATGAGAGGTGCCCAGCTCGAGCATCAAAGGTGCCCAACTCGAAGCATCAAAGGTGACCAACTCGAGGCATGAGAGGTGCCCAACTCGAGGCATGAAAGGTGGGTGCCCAGCTCGAGGCTTCAAAGGTGCCCAAGTCGAAGCATGAGAGGTGCCCAACTCGAAGCATCAAAGGTCCCCAACTCGAGGCATGAGAGGCGCCCAACTCGAGGCATGAGAGGTGCCCAACTCAATGCATGACAGGTGCTTAACTCAAAGCATGAAAGGTGCCCAACTCGAGGCATGAGAGGTGCCCACCTCAAAACATGACAGGTGCCTAGCTGAAGGCTTCAAAAGTGCCCAACTCGAGGCATTATTAAAGCTTATTAAAGGTGCCCAACTCGAAGCTGAGAGGTGCCCAACTCATAGCATGAGAGGTGCCCAACTCGAAGCATCAAAGGTGCCCAACTTGAGGCATGAGAGGTGCCTAACTCGAGGCATGAAAGGTGCCCGACTCGAAGCATCAAAGGTGCCCAACTCGAGGCATGAGAGGCGCCCAACTCGAAGCATCAAAGGTGCCCAACTTGAGGCATGAGAGGTGCATAACTCGAGGCATGCAAGGTGCCCGACTCGAAGCATCAAAGGTGCCCAACTCGAGGCATGAGAGGTGCCCAACTCGAGGCATGAGAGGTGCCCAGCTCGAGCATCAAAGGTGCCCAACTCGAAGCATCAAAGGTGCCCAGCTCGAAGCATGAGAGGTGCCCAGCTCGAGCATCAAAGGTGCCCAACTCGAAGCATCAAAGGTGCCCAACTCGAAGCATCAAAGGTGCCCAACTCGAAGCATGAGAGGTGCCCAACCCATACCCAACTCGAAGCATGAGAGGTGCCCAGCTCGAGCATCAAAGGTGCCCAACTCGAAGCATCAAAGGTGCCCAACTCCAAGCATAAAAGGTGCCCAACTCGAAGCATGAGCCCGACTCGAAGCATCAAAGGTGCCCAACTCGAGGCATGAGAGGTGCCCAACTCGAGGCATGAGAGGTGCCCAGCTCGAAGCATCAAAGGTGCCCAACTCGAAGCATGAGAGGTGCCCAACTCGAAGCATGAGAGGTGCCCAGCTCGAGCATCAAAGGTGCCCAACTCGAAGCATCAAAGGTGCCCAACTCGAAGCATCAAAGGTGCCCAACTCGAAGCATGAGAGGTGCCCAACTCATACCCAACTCGAAGCATGAGAGGTGCCCAGCTCGAGCATCAAAGGTGCCCAACTCGAAGCATCAAAGGTGCCCAACTCGAAGCATCAAAGGTGCCCAACTCGAAGCATGAGAGGTGCCCAACTCATACCCAACTCGAGGCATGAGAGGTGCCCAACTCGAGCATCAAAGGTGCCCAACTCGAAGCATCAAAGGTGCCCAACTCGAAGCATCAAAGGTGCCCAACTCGAAGCATGGTGCCCAGAGCAATGAGAGGTGCCCAACTCATACCAACTCGAAGGCATGAGAGGTGCCCAACTCATACCCAACTCGAAGCATGAGAGGTGCCCAGCTCGAGCATCAAAGGTGCCCAACTCGAAGCATCAAAGGTGCCCAGCTCGAAGCATCAAAGGTGCCCAACTCGAAGCATGAGAGGTGCCCAACTCATACCCGAGTTAACTCGAGGCATGAGAGGTGCCCAACTCGAGCATCAAAGGTGCCCAACTCGAAGCATCAAAGGTGCCCAACTCGAAGCATCAAAGGTGCCCAACTGGAGGCATGAGAGGTGCCCAACTCATACCCAACTCGAAGCATGAGAGGTGCCCAGCTCGAGCGTCAAAGGTGCCCAACTCGAAGCATCAAAGGTGCCCAACTCGAAGCATCAAAGGTGCCCAACTCAAAGCATGAGAGGTGCCCAACTCATACCCAACTCGAGGCATGAGAGGTGCCCAACTCGAGCATCAAAGGTGCCCAAGTCGAAGCATGAAAGGTGCCCAACTCGAAGCATCAAAGGTGCCCAACTCGAAGCATGAGAGGTGCCCAACTCATTCCCAAATCGAAGATGAAGGTGCCCAGCTCGAGCATCAAAGGGGCCCAACGCGAAGATCAAAGGTGCCCAACTCGAAGCATCAAAGGTGCCCAACTCGAAGCATGAGAGGTGCCCAACTCATACCCAACTCGAAGCATGAGAGGTGCCCAGCTCGAGCATCAAAGGTGCCCAGCTCGAGCATCAAAGGTCCCAACTCGGAGCATCTAAGGTGCCCAACTCGAAGCATGAGAGGTGCCCAACTCATACCCTTTTCGAAGCTTGAGAGGTGCCCAGCTCGAGCATCAAAGGTGCCCAACTCGAAGCATCAAAGGTGCCCAACTCGAAGCATCAAAGGTGCCCAACTCATACCCAACTCGAGGGATGAGAGGTGCCCAACTCGAGCATTAAAGGTGCCCAACTCGAAGCATGACAGGTGCCCAACTCATACCCAACTAGAAGCATGAGAGGTGCCCAGCTCGAGCATCAAAGGTGCCCAACTCGAAGCATGAAAGATGCCCAACTCGAAGCATGAGAGGTGCCCAACTCGAAGCATGAGAGGTGCCCAACTCATACCCAACTCGAAGCATGAGAGTGCCCAACTCGAGAGAAGCACAGGTGCCCAACTCGAAGCATCCAAGGTGCCCAACTCGCACGCATCAAAGGTGCCCAACTCGAAGCAGAGGTGCCCAACTTCATACCCAACCGAAGCATGAGAGGTGCCCAGCTCGAGCATCAAAGGTGCCCACTCGAAGCATCAAAGGTGCCCAACTCGAAGCATCAAAGGTGCCCAACTCGAAGCATCAAAGGTGCCCAACTCATACCCAACTCGAAGCATGAGAGGTGCCCAGCTCGAGTATCAAAGGTGCCCAACTCGAAGCATCAAAGGTGCCCAACTCGAAGCATCAAAGGTGCCCAACTCGAA